GTTTGATTTTTTGGTTGCATGTGACCTTTAAGATATGCTGTTTGTGCCAAGGAAGGGAATCCACTGACAAGGTGTTGGACAGTCTCTGTGAATTCATTGCAAAGTCGACATTTCATGTTAATATTCTCTTTAAGAATCACATTTAGGCGATTGCCAGTGGGAAGTGACTGGTCCGGGGCAGCAAAAAAGAAGCCCTCAGTTTCACATTTGAGACCAGCCAACTTCATCCAGGCGAAGGAGTCGGTGGGATTGCTATTCTGTTCCACACACTGCATGTACACACACGATGCAATGGCTTCTTAGAAAGGTTCTCCACAAAAGACCGACTCTGGGCAGACTTGGTGAAGGACTTCACCTGGTTTACTCCCATCGCTGTACCATCCAGCAGTACGTCGCCATCAGCAAAGTCAACCTCAAATTTCAGATTCTGTCAAACAACCTTGGCACGCTTAAAATAACTGTGGAATTCCTTGCTTTCATCATGAGTTTTGACATGCATCACCAGAGGATCATCCGATAAATAAATTTGTGCAAAAGTACACAATAAAATTCTATCATGAAGAGCCTCCACATTAATCAAACCCTGACCTCCAGAATTGATTGGCATATATAAACGGTTAAGAGAGGAACAAGGGTGGTGGGCTCTGTTATCAGACATGATCCTTCTGGTCAGGCGGTCAAGACTCTGGATGTCTTGTTTTGTCCAATCAACTACTACAAAGGAATAGGAAAGGACTGGCACAGCAAAAGTATTGGTGGCTTTGACCTTGTTTCGAGCATTTAGTTCTGAGCTCCAGATTTTCTTGGATTTTCCCAGATTTGTACTCGGCCCGAAGTTTGTCTTGAATTTGGGCACTCTGGAGCTTGTCTCAAACTTGCATTCCAACATAGGCGTAGGCCTGATCTTCCACGAGATGCTCAAAAACTCCTCCCCCCTGTAACTTGACCGATCCACCATTAACTACCTTGCCACATTTCAAATGAAGAGGGGGCGGTGGGGTAGCCTAATGGTTCAAACGTTGGCTCGTCACGCCGAAGACCCTGGTTCGAATCCCCACATGGGCACAATGTGTGAAGCCCATTTCTGGTGTCCCCCGCAGTGATGTTGCTGGAATATTGCTAAAAGCGGCGTAAAACCAAACTCAGTCAGTCAGTCAGTCAAATGAAGAGTATTAATTACATTTGTCGAGTCCAAATGTCATGCCAATATCATTAGAAAAGGACTTGACAAGGAGAACCTGCTTTTTAGAGACTTGAGTAAATCAAGTATTCGCTCCGGGAGGTCAATACAATGAAGAGACTTCAGAATCTATTCATGAGGGACAAAGTTGTATGCTTTCTTGTAGTCAATCCAGCACATGGAGAGGTTGCGGTGATATGTTTTAGCCTCTTCCAAAATTATTTTCTGTACAAGAAGTTGATCCTTGCACCCCCAACATCCCTTTCTTGCTCCCTTCTGCTCCCTGTAAATTATATCATTGGAAGAGCAGTAAGATGACACGAGGTTTGTCAAACACCCTGTGAAGATTTTGTATTGTGTATGCAAACATGTGATGGGGCGGAAGTTTTTGGGATCAGTCAGGTCTCCTTTTTTGGGAAGGAGTATTGTGCAACCTTTGCAGAACCATGGAGGAACATCACCTGTGTCCACGAGAGTATTGAAGCAGTGAAGTAATGGTGTTTGGACACAGGGACATAGTTTCCAGTACTGGTTTCAAATGCCATGAGGCCCTGGAGCTGTATTAGATTTGGACTTTTTGATAACTCTTTTCAGGCAATCTGGTGAGATGTAACAGACAAACGACCTAGTTATTTTCTCATGCATTGCATGGTCATAATCACGGACCCATGGTGCCTCCAGGTTACAGTCTCCGGGTACAGACCACAACTGTTGCCAGAACCTTTCATTGGCATCCATGGGAGGCCGTTTATCATGCTCACCATCACCGTTTGTTTTCAGTTGCCTGTAGAAGTGTTTTTCATTATTTCTAAAAAGTTTATTCTGTTTGATGAATTTGTGTTTCTTTTCCCATTTTTTCTTTCTTTCAGTCCAAACCTTTATTTTGGCCTTGAGGGAATCGACAATTTGGAGAAGTACCTTTTCTCTTGTCTTATACTGTAATTTTAATTTTCTCCAAATTGACTTTTGTCGTTTAGACATGGGATTCCCTGATGATCTTATTTAAAGGCACAGCTCTATCCAGCAAATGTTTCTTCTAGTTTCAGTAAGTTTTACTTGAAACCGGTTTTTCTTTTGATGTCTTGTTCTTAGAATTAGGTGTTTTTTCCTTAGAAACTGAGTGAAGTTCCTCCAAAATTCGAGTGGCGGCACAGACACAACAATTCACTTCATGTAATGAACAGTCCGCAGAAAGTTTCAATGAAATAGCTCCATTTAATAAATCAATTTCATTTTTGGGAAAAGAAACGTTTAGTTGTTTAATTGGCCTCCGATTTTTCAAAGGTAAACCACAAATTTCCTCATAAATAGTGTTAAACAGAATATAAACAGGGTTCTCAGAAAGATCTGCAACTAAGAAGAAGAAGAATGAGAAGCAGAAATTTCGGGGGGCCAGTTGGCTCTATGCCAGAAGGGTTTGTTTCGGGAAGAGAGAGGTTCACGCGGACATCCATTAAAAGTTTTGGATCTGCTGCCACTTGAGCATTCTGCTCATGCAAAGGTTCCTGACGGGCACCAGTTGTGGGTTGAACTGGCTCACGGGGCATGAGATTTTTAAGCCGCCAGAATTGATCTCGGAGATTTTGCTCCGTCAGGAAAGCATACATGGGCATGGCATTGTCCCAATGCAGCTTAAGCAACTTGCCAGCTTAAGCGACTGGGACACATAGTCACAGTACTTTGTCCAAGTTTACTGCACTTTGATGTACCCACAACTTGGTGTTTCGGCAGATATTCATGTGGCCACCATCTGGTCATTTACCAACAGATTCATGGGTTGTGTATTGTACACTAGGGGTTGTGACAACACTGAAAGAGACTCCACAGAAAGTTGCCTCCAAGGTTTTTACACCCGGTCACAGGTTGGCTTGATCGTGGCACCTTAAGCTTGCTGGATCTCTAGCCTGGCGCCTTAGATCGCTCGCCCACTGCACCCCCAAGTAAACACTAGGTACTCTCCTTAAACTCAACTTTATCGAAGTAGGGGGCCATTATAGAAAAAGACATATTTTATAAATCCAACAAGAAATACTTTAATATTCTTTTTAGAATATGTTACTACTCCTGTGTTTGTGAGACTTGTGACTTTGACCTTATGACAATTGCCCAAAGAATTCACCCTTGGCCATGTTGATATTTCACAAGGATGTCAAGAAACTTTGCAGTAACATCAATTTGAAACAGTTAATGAAAACAAAAACAAAAAAATCTCCAAGTGTCTAAATTCCATATCAAAAGATCTTTAGTAGATATTTTGCAATAGTTTTACCTCTTTTGTGATAATATACTGGGAGGTAATTAAAAGCCTATCATATACTCTTCACAAAAAATTAAGCGACAAGCATTTTCAGTGTAATATCATCATCAATCTCGTTAACGTTTTTTTGCCGACACGTTACTGAAAGGTAAATATTCAAGGAATACATAACCTTTAGTGAATGTCAAATTGAATTATCTCATAACATTGACATCACCCGAACACAACCACCCTCAGAAAGAACCTGCAACATGTGTGGCATGAATGTTCTCCATTCTTCACACATGCACCCTGATCGGTGTAAACCTACCTGTAATCATTCCTCTGCTACAACAAGTGGGTCCAGACTTCAATTTTATGGATGATAATGCCCGAGAAAGAGTTGTTAATGATGTTTAGATCAACAACATCACACATATGGACTGGCCTGCAAGGTCACCTGATCATAATCCCATTAAACATGCTTGGGGCATTATTGGAAGTTGTGTTTACAGTCTCCATGTTCACCCCCAGACTCTGGATGACCTTGAGCAGGCGTTACAGAGAGAATGGCAGAACATTCCACAACGGCAACTTTAAAGGCTCATTTGGTCAATGAAAAGACCTGCAGAAGCTTACATTTGTGCTCATGGTGGTCATACGCGTTACTGAACACTGCTTCACTGTCCAAAACTGACTTGAACCTCAATGTTAACATTTTGCTCCATCAATGCAGCACATTTTGCACGACTGTTTCACGGGTACATGCTTTTGATGATAATTGCTCAATACCATTTCATTTCATTTTGTTAATCGTGTCAATACGTTTCACCTTTCCATTGCATCATTCCATGATTTGCAATTTCAATAAGTGAAAATGTAATGAGACTAAAAATTTGTGTTGCTTAACTTTTTGTGAGGAGTATACTTGGCATAATTTATAGGTCTGATGCATTCAACATTTCTCATATGGTTACTTGGCAACAAGTCAATGGGGTTTGGGCAGCAGGCTTGAATTTAGAATACAAGCAAGACTTTCTGTTACACAAGAATTGTCTTAGCACTTTCAATAGATGTTAGTTATCTATATGTTTTTTGTCATGTTGATATGCTTTTTAAACCCATGGCTACTCTACCAATACCAAGCATCAATATCAGCTGTCACATTAAGCACACCAAACGTCAGTGCTCTACACCACTAGGCCATTGCAGCTTCCACAAAATGGTAGTTTAATAACTGGTAATCGAGGTCACATACTAAAGGTACGCCTATGACAACTGTACGTTGTGATGGTTCCCATGGCTAAACGCAATGAATGCACAATGCTACTTAGAAAGCATCAAAATGTAACATACATTATATTTAGGATCACACTTTCGCAGTAAAGTACAGATTCTAGTACTTTTGGAGGGTGAGAACCATCAAGGATTCGACCCCCAAACTCTCCATGTCCTTGCGACTCGGTGCCGGATTTATTTGTTACATTTGAACACTTTCTAAAAGGCATTGTGAATTCATTCCACAACAACAGATTGGTTCAGCCAAAAACAAATGACTACTAAATAAACACACTGAGAAATGGCAAGTATTTCCAAGTTTATTTACATTTAATATGCACATAATTACATTGGTGTATGTACATAGGCAGACTACAAAATCTTTCTCATTTCGGCAACCTCCATTTGACATGAATTGGGAGCCATATTCAAGCAACAAGGCAGTATTAAGAATTTACAGCATGTACAATAACATCACTATACAACACAACACTGGCATGGATGATGTAATACAGCAAGCACCTACTTCAGCTTTCGAGGTTAAGGGGCAAACATCACAGTAAATGTCTAAGGTATACCAGGTCATGTCATGAGAAAGTAATATGAAAATAAAACCAAATCTTTTATCATGCTTTTGTTTGCTTTACAACAAACTCAAGAGATGTTTTGATAAAAGATCCCAATATATTGACAAGGTTTGTAACTTCTCTTATATGAAATTATGACAACAATCACTTGTCGGAGGTGTAAGCATTTCCGAACAAAAATTTCTGTCTGCCAGCAATTTTGATTTGAGCAGATGACAAACAATACTATGAAATGAGATTTTCTGTTTCCTTATGTTAAGTCCATGATTAGGTTATGAAGGAATGACAGAAACTATATGTAATGGATAAGAGTCAAGATTGATTAATCACAATCTTGAAAATGAAACATGAATACTGTTCCTTGCACTATGGAAGACAAAGCAGCTCATAAACAAATTGGTTCAGATAAAGTGACTGATATGTTCATTAATATTGCATTGATTTGAAGCACAAATTTTGGCTGGTCTTGTATGTCTCTGGGGTGAATGAACTGATAAAACAGACATAATAATGATGATAATAATCACTAAAACGTAATCACAGAGTTAAAACTTGGATTGCCCCCTAGCCTGTTCTAACTGAAGCAGTGGAGGAGGAGGGAGTATCCAGAACTAGCATCAGTCTCTCATAAGGCAGAAGAACAAGCTACCTGATGATTTCATTGCTATATACAATTAGTTAAAAACTACAAATATTTCCAGTATCATCATTGATATTGAAGTAAACTGTCAGGGCAGTCATGCATGAGGTCATACAAAGCTTAAATTTGGTTAAGTTATCTGTCTCCTGTATACACATCAAAATAAGCGATATTTCAGCTATACTACTTAAAACAAGTCAAAGATCACATCATTCTTCATTTTTACTACAGTTAATCTGTCAGGAAAGAATCAAGTGATCCTAAACTCGTTTTAAGTGACATATATCATGGCAGCCTGTAAGAAATGAAGTCAGTACAGGCGAAACAGTGGCTGAGAGTATGAGGACCATCCAGTGCTATTCATGACCAACACGTACCAGCCAAAATATATTCTATTACTATGAGCATGCATTAAAAGTCCTATGTCATGATCAAGACAGATGACAAATTTATGTATTTATCAACCAACTGTATCTAAGGGTGTCTTTCATTATCAAACAACATACCCTTGAGGAAGATCAAAATATGAAATACATTCTTCAGAGAAAAATGATACCTTTTATTCGATATCAATCGAGATATATCAAGATTGGCTTGGATTAGACACGTAAGTTATTAAATATACTAATGATTCAAATGAGAGACTGAAACTGGATGAAACATCACTCACAATAAAGCCAATATTGAATAGAAATACCTGTATATACTTATGTACATATGACTTAGTCTCAACTTGTGATTTTGCATTGTTAACAAGGTGAAGACAATCACTCACACTTCAGTAGCATTTTGTTGAATGGGCACAATAGCATACAAACTTGAAAGCAGAATGAAAGAGAAAATTACTAACAATTCTGATAATACACGGACAACTACACATTTGAAATAATCAGTGAGGTTAATGGTTACTGAATGCACCTGAGGCAATGTTACTTAAACATGGCACCTCTTTCTATCACAGAATCCATTATACAGACCAAAAGACTTAGCAATTGTCACTTAGGGAATTACATATTAAATTTGGCACTAATGGCCCTTTTCGACTGCAAGTTTGAATAAAAGCTACTTTTGTTCAATTCACTTTTAACAATTGTATGCATTTCCTCATACAGGAATTATGAAACATGATTATTCTTAATATTTATATAAAAATATGATCTTTCTAAATGTTTTCATAAATGCTACAAATAACTTCTGATAATCAACAGTGTTCTGATTACATGATTGTATCATCTTCCCAACATATTTCTCTGAATATTTAACAATAATTTTACACCTTATGATCATGAATATAAATTGTTAAATATTTTGAACATGATACTCTCAACATGTATAATACCCAATACATGTACATGTGTCATATTTTAGAAAAACCTTTGCAAAGAAAGTGACTTGGTACAGATGACCAAACTTAAATTGTCTCATTAAAATCTTTAGACATAAATATAGAAATAATAATCTTAAAACTCATGATATGTTAAGAGAACACAATGTGTCATATATATACAGCAACATTGTTAAGAAGATAAAACAGTCATAAAACAGACATATAGGAAATAATCTAAAGGGACTTCATTTGTGTGTTGTATTAAGAAGTTACATAAAAGCTGGTAAAAAAAGAGTCAAAAAGTGCTAAACAATACAGTTAGAGTTACGGTAGCAAGCACTTTCACTTTGTAAAGATACTGCCTATGAAAGCTCAACCTTTTAACATCAACCTGAAAATATTCATGAACAATAAGAATGTATGTAAGCATTATCTTAAAAATTCTTCATAAATGCAAACAAGAACAAGAAAGGAGAGTAATGGCAAATGCGTGGTATATATACACAATGCTCTTGGCTACAGCTCCTTGCCCTGGCCCATGTGAAATGGTCTGTGTTCAATAAATTAACTTATAATGCACATAAATAACAAATACAAGAAAAAGAAAAATACAAAGCTAATCAGTTTCAATTCATATCATTATCACAAATTTCATTCATGCTATCATCATGTCTGCACAATTGATAATATGTCGGTTAATAAGTCACCAGGCACTGTAGCTCACATGCATATTTTAGGCAAACTTTCAGAACCAACTAAGGAGGTGTAAGAGATGAAATAACTTAAAATATACAAAAGGCAAGATGGCTAGTAATCAATTCATTAACCAATGATCAATACATCAAAGTGTTATTCTAGATGTAACTGCCACGATTAATGAAAATCACCTGACTAATAAGCCAACATAACATTTTCATATTGCAGCCATGTGAAAAGTTGGTCTTGACCTTGATGAGCCTCTTTCATCAGCACTATTCCTGGCATTATTCTATTCCAGTTTCAGAAACAGATGATGACATGGTCAGATTACAACAGTAACATGACGGACAGCACACTATGGCATAATTTCACTTGGATCTTTGGTCCAAACGATCTTTGGATAGTCCTGTTTAAAGTTGCTGTGTCGGCTTAACCACTTCATGCATGATTTATTAATGAATCACACCACATATACAGCTTAACATAGAAAGTAACGTCCACATGTGTTTTCTTATAACTGTGAACATCACTGTTCAATAAAGACAAAACTACAGAGGTAGACCCACTGGTTAGATAATGCTATAACCATGATAAAACAAAACAAGTTGTCATTTTACCCAATCTTATGAAAATGACATGACTACACAGTCTCTAACTACACAGTAATTAGATTATCTGATCCAGTTAACATAATAAACATTTCAACAATTATCGGTAATGAAACATTAATCGACTTAACACTTTTGCCAGTATCCAATGACAGTACAAGTAACTCAAGGGACATCTCAGCTGTTAATTTTGTTGTAATGGGTTACTCTTGTGGGAAATATCCATCAGGGCATAACCTTACACTCTCCAGACAAGCTTCGAACTAGACAAGCTTCAGACTGGACCAACTTTGCTGTAGGTTGCCCAGAATCCTGACTAAACTACACAGGGTCTTCTGCATCCACTGCTCATCTCGCTTGAAATGATGGCGAGAGATTCTTTACTGTTGTAGTAAGCTGCCTTGAACTTCACTCAATCATACACACTACCACACAATCTCATGCAACTGTAAGTCGGCCCACTACTGAGACACAGGCTTGCATTTAAGCTTTCTTTGTTATCCCACCTTTAGTGTCAATGCTTTCAGAGGGACACACACCATCATCAGACTAGGGTGACAGGGTAGGATGATAATGATATGACTTCATGAGTAGGTCTAAAACATTATGTACAGCAAAATAAGTAATTTTCCCATGAAATGATATATTATTCAACAATACAACATTCAATGCTAGCATGGTGTTGTCCTTGGAAGTCTCATATGTATGTGTCCATTGGCAATTCCATTAAGTTGTGTGTAACTACTGTTACTACTTTTACTGCTTCCTTTGCTCCCATCACTATACCCTACCCCACTGTTGGGACTTGAGCACGTACTGTTTCGATGTCCATTTGGCATTTCCTCTAACAACACACATTCACATGGACTGGTATTGGAGGAGTCTCTATGATGGTGCCGGGAGGGCGACCTCTGCATCTCTACAGAATTCAGATTAGATGTCTCAACAGCTGACATGAAAGGTATCCGAGACTCATCATTGATATCCATTTCATCATCACTTTGTTCATTGAATTCAACATTTCCATAATCTTCTTGGTCCTCTGTCGCTTGTAAGTTTTTGTACTCAGTAGCGTCTACTTTATTTTCATCACTGAAGAAATATGACACATCTTTGAAATTGGGATCAAGATCAGGTACCAACAGCTCAATAATTTCCTTGAACGTTGGACGCTTCTTGTAACGATATCTCCAACACTGGCACATCAGATCATAGCTGAAACAGATATCATGATTTAGCATTCAAGTCAAACAACAGCTGTGCCATCAGTAGGCGGGATTAGTATTCAGACTTGCCAATTTCTTTTCTAGCCCTATATTATCCAATTTATCAATGAAATACATTTTTCCTTTGTTATATATTCAGAGTTTCCCCAACTACCTAAAAAATACTATACTATACCTTTTGTATATTTTTCAGGAAAATAGCCCGAACATAGTCCTTTCTATTATCAAAGTGCAAATATACACGAATTCAAAGTGATGATTCGTACTTAGCACTGAAATGATTTTAACACAAGGCTACATGCACCCATTTATTTACAAAATAATTGTGAAAAAAATATAACAGACTGAACATAATGACTTTGTTTTCAATTGTATGGTAAATAAATGCATCAACTCACATCTTTTCAGGGCAGCCATCCGGTTTCTCCATATATCTACCATCAGATACATATTTTAATACTTCCTCATTTGACAGTCCTTGATAAGGCTGAGCAGCCAGCGTAGCCATCTCCCACAACACAACACCATACGACCTGGAATGAGTAACCATATAATGTCTCAACAGAAGCTACAGAGATGAAGTTTAAGTTTCATAAATCGATTCATTTCAGTTTCAAAGGTTCAAGAACTATATTTATCATTAGAACACTAATCATACATCACTGTAACTTAAATGTACCATATGTACTTAACTTTTGATATAATACAATATTATTTCTTTATTTGCTTGACTTACGTCATTAGAACAAGAAGATGTAATGAATGCAGTATCTCAATCTCCTTATCAAAAGTTCAATAGTTCAGACCATCTACAGCTAACACAATACCACTTTTGGTTAAATCAAAGAAGAAAACATGAGCAGCCACGTGTCTCTGAAATTATTGTGAGAGTAATAATGTAAATAAGTTTTAATTAGTATATCATCAAGTAGACATCATGAAGAGATGTTTATGCTTCTGAAGAAGACAAAAGGAACACAATCAACATTGACCAATTCACGAAAATTTCCAACGTACCATACGTCTGACATGGTTGTAAATATGCCATCTTTAAGGGACTCAGGGGCCATCCAGCGGACAGGGAGCAGGCCTTTCCCACCTTTACGGTAGTAGTCAGTCTCATATATGTCTCTTGTCATTCCGAAATCTGTAAAATGTCATGCCAAATAATAACAACTATGTCAACAGTTAATTTTGGAGAAAAAATCCCCACTGGTAAGCAACCCCTTGTTTTGTTACATATAAATCAGACAATCCCTCCTGGGGCTGTACTCACAACACTACGGTGTTGCTAGGATCATCAATATTAACATCAACTTCACACCTACATTTGTCGGACACATTTTGACTAAAATATGACATTCAATTCAATGCTTAAATATGATTGTTGAATGACACCACTGCTGGAAGTTACCACTGACAATTTAATGTAGATCCTTGGGATTTTAACAACAAAACCAAGCAACTTCTCTAAAATTATAATCAATTCTTTTCCCCCTTCAATTCACTACATGATCACATATATATATCATCTTAAAGAATTGGTCATCTATTCTAGGGGAGCAATGTGTGTGCAGGGATTGGTTTTATGACCCCATCATTATATGCAACAATGTCTCAAGCACTCCATACTTACGTCACATTTTCATGAACCCCCCTCTCCAATGATAATTATCAGTCTCTAAAAAATATATAAATTTGTTATTTGCTAAACTGTGGCCTTTTTTGTTCATAAACTTCCATCCCTATAATAAATGACAAGTTTCAAAGACAACTATCATTTAATTCTTACCTCCAATTTTCACAGTCCTGTCATCAGCAACCATACAGTTCCGAGCTGCGAGATCACGATGCACAAATTTCTTGTCAGCCAAGTAAGCCATTCCATCAGCTATCTCACCAGCCATTTGCAAAATCTGTTTCAGAGTTGGTGGTAATCTGCCCATGTTTTCCTGAGAAAAGAAATATATGAATAAGAATATATCAGCCGCTTGGAAAATACAATCTACAACCAGAAACGAGCAGCAGAATGACATTTTGAAAAAATCACCAAGTATTTGTAACACCACTAACTTATGGTAAGTGAAATGCTTGCATACTATATACTAGACTAATACACTCATGGATGTAGTGACATTATTAGAAAGTTCCAGGTACTTTTGGCTCAACAGCTTCACTTCTGGGTTTGGAAAAACATACCTAACACAAGACCATATAAAAACAGGTCTCATTCATGTAGCTAACTGAATGAGAGAAAAAAACCCTTTAATTTCATATTCATATCACATGCTCACATATCTCTGAATGCAATCATAAGCTTGGAATAAACTGTGATACAAACATGGGTTGGTTCAATACACAAAACTGCCATATAGCTGGAATATTGCTGAGCGCAGCGTAAAACTAAACTCTCACTCACTCACCCAATGCACAAAACCACATTCAAGAATGACATCCACAGGGTTCCAGTGACCTTGAACTCATTGAAGGACACTCAATATATCAATGACCTATGAAAGCTGCATGTGTAACAAATTCCATCCAACTGTTATGAAAACTTCTATAATTATAGTGAACATACTACAATTTGGAGTGTAAGACTTTGCAATCACTCTCAAGGTCTTACTCTTCAACCTTAAATACTAATGACAATTTTTTCATGAGCACTGCAAAGCTATCTAGAATATACATGAAACATTATATCCCATCAACAGATATTCAATAGTATATGAAGCTCATTGAAAGGTGAATGTGACTAACTACACCCGAAAAAGCATGTAATAAAAAATGGCAACCATACTTCCATTATAACTTTTTGTGACCTTGACCTTATACATAGGTTACATACTACCTTTTCAGAGCTCAGCCACCCCAAAAAGAACACATCTACTAAGTTTTTTCTTTCAAGCCATATTCACACTTTGATTGTGAGTATGACCCTTGCCCTTGCCAAGACAGAAAGAAGACATACACGACATGGCATCTGTTATGTACAAACACCACATGGTTTTGAAAACAAAAAGAGGCGGATATGGCAATAACATTTTGTTACTTGTATTACCTCTTCATCAGGTCTATGCAATCGAAGAAAATTCTTGAGGTCACCTTGACCCATCAATTCCATGATCACAAGGGCAGGTTGACCCTTGGACACAACACCCAGTAATCTCACTACATGATGGCACGAAAAGGACCTGAAAAATATTGTGTTAATTACATTTATGTCACACATATTAATGCCTGGTTGTAAATTTTCGAAATAACAATCACAGAACAACTTCAGGCTATATGCCTTGAGAACTGGTCACTGTGCCAGATGCCATCATTACTGGTCTGAGCTGTAAATCAGTAGCACCCTTCCTTTAACAATTTAGTGCCATGCAGCAAAAACAACTCTGTCCATACTTAGGGCTAATCAAAGATTGTTAATTCAAAACATGACATTACATAGGCTCAAAATGTCACAGATTAGCATGAAATAGATTTCACACTCAACAAAACCTAATGTGTATTTGCAAAATGCTTGCATTACTTACTTCATAGTAGATGCTTCTTTGAGAAACATCATCCTCTCATGCCAGCCAGCACTATCATTTACAGTCTGAAACAAAGTGGGAAAACATTTTACATTTGATCAGAAAACACTCACTAATAGTATGAATGGGTCGATGTTCCAAAGAAACATATGGAAGATCTGGCTAGAAAAGGGCTTGTTTTACCTCTCACCATACATTGTAAAATGAAAAGCAACATTTGAATATGTATCAGTTACCTTTACAGCAACCTTGACTTCATCACTGGAACCACCAATGTCTTTGCCAACACCTTCATACACCATGCCAAAAGATCCCTGGCCCAGTTCTCGAATAAGCTTGATTTTGTCCCGACTCATTTCCCAATCATCTGCTATGTAAACTAGAAAAAAGGAGACAAAAATACAGTTGTATACATGTGTTGATTTTTGTTTAATATGACCCTGGACAGTCAAGCACACAATTAGTTAGCAACTTTTGGAAATTTTGCAACTCACACTGTCAAAATTAATCTTCCAGCATGCAACAAATATACACACAATACAGTCGCACACTGAAGAAATTCAAAACATCATCTAATATTTCCAAATTAACAAAAAATACAATTATTACCATCTGCTGAAGGAACATATCCTGGATTCATGGAGATTGTTGTCACATCAGGATCCTTTGCAAACCTGGGACAATATATGGAAAAGATGTTTGATGTTCGTTTCTATTACAAAAGGGCATCAATTCCTATGCACGTATCACTACTTATATGACCTCCATTAAAGCTGTGTTTTCACAAACTGTGATAACCTACGATCTCAGGAAATCAAAGCAAGAGAAGTAGATATATAGGTGGTAATAAAAACATGAGTGAGGGAGTGATTATGTTAACCTCCCCGACCCATACGTTACAGTAACATGTCTATAACCAAAATTGGGAAACCATCAAGAGCAGCGATGCTTCCCTGCCTTTATCATAAGAAATTTTGTTTATTTTAGATATTGATGTAAGATCTTTTTTCAGTCAAATGACAGCAAAAGAGATACTCACTTGCTCTTGGCCACAAACCATACAATAATGATTGTGATAATGATGACCAGCAAAACTCCAATCACTGCTGCAGCTATTACGGCTTCGTTTGTTGTCCGCACTGTCAAAAGAACCAGAAACAAATGAAATAACAGTCAGTTCAACATTTTCCCAAATTAGAGTGAGTGAGTGACCATAGTTCTATGCCACACTAAGCAATATTCCAGCTATATGGCGACAGTCTGTAAATAATCAAGTCTAGACCAGATAATACAATGATCAACAGCATGAGCATCAATCTTCACAAATTAGGATACGATGACATGTGTCAACCAAGTTAGCGAGCCTGACAACTCAATCCTGTTAGTCTCCGCTTACGACAAGTATGGGTTACTGAAGATCAATTCTAACCCAGATCTTCACTGGTTTCCAAAATTAGAAGGAAATACTAAAATCATAGTAACTTCATAAGGCACTTAGAGAGCATTTCTTTAACTGTTTCAAATGTAAACTTCATTAGCACCACACATATCAATACTTTCACCTTCAAGAAAGTAACATACACTTTTTTCGACGGGATAACACAACTCAAAAACCATTGTCACTGTATTGAAGTATGCCATCATATTCCTAATCTTAGCACATCCAACACAAATCCAATAAATGTCAGCTTGTTTTGCTCACCATCAAGTTCAGGCACCACAAAGAAGAAGGGCTGTGTGAATGACCCATTCCCCGCCAGAGATGTGGCTTTGATGCGAAAAGAATAATTCCCAGGGTTGAGTCGCTGAAACTTGTAGCCCCCTAATTTTCTATATTCCTTATGAGTGAAACAGATACGTGTTGGCTCAACCTGAAATTTGAAAAAATAACAAAAATTTGAATTAAAAAAAATATAATTGGTGTGTTCTCTTATGCTTCCTAACCAAGACTTGAACTCAAAAGTTTTAAGTAACGTGACTGGATTTATACTTTGTATCAGTAATGCAAGAATAAAATTGATTGGGATATTATTGAATTGGCAGCAATGTGGCCAATTAGGTACAACTCAGTTATCCCAACAACGTAAAATCCTTTCATCAGACATCAAAGGAAATATTCCACAACTTAGCTACAAAAGCAAAGGCATTAGGTGCCAATGCTTCAGCCGAGACAGAAAGAACTATGCATAAGCATAATATATATCATGCTTTGATTGATGTGATGCCATTGAGTTACTTACATCAGCAGTAGAAATCTTCTTGTATTCTATCTGGAATGTGATGATGACACCATTTGGGTTCTCTGGAGACTTCCATGTAACCAGGATGTCTTGTGTTTTGTTTGTTGACTTGACTATCTTGACGGTTGACGCATTCACATTATCTGATGTAGCTGTAAATGAATAGATAGTGTACACTATGACTGGATGAAATCATCACAAAAGAACATATGCTTCTATTTGACCTACCTTCGACATTAAGACACTGTTACTGCTTTACCTACGGATCCTTTCACATTCCATAAATACGGAACAAAAAATGTTACTGGCTGCCAAACAAACATCGCCAATACTTCAGTATCACCCATGCGCAGTTCCGGTCAAGCACAATTCCGGTATTTTTTCCCACAGTATTTGACAACAATAAAGGACAGCAAAAGAAAATTCTTCATGGTAAGTAATATAAGAGAAAAATTAAAGATAAAGTTATGAACCCTATAATATATTTTTAACTTTGTCAGGGGGATGTCACACGATCTATATACTAGCAAGTTCAAGTTCACAAAAGTCATTAACTGTTTCAATCCCTATCAATCTACAGTAAAAAAAATACTCAACTAGTCACACTTTCAATTATTCACTGTTATTTATGACATATTATTTCACGAATGACATGAGAAATTCTGAAATGGCGATAACTGTTACAGTTGTGAGAAAACATCTATTTGTACTGCCATGATTCCCTTCCACAGCATCATATAAAGACACAATTGGTGGCAGTGAACAGGCTGGATACATCGGTGATTGGCTAATTAAGTATCATAATTAATTCTGTTTCATTAATTTAACGAACGTCAGAGTTATCTGTAAATACCGCTAAAATATGGCAATAACTGTTCGGCAGCCAGGGGATCAGAAATATTTTGGATGTTCTTTTAATGAACTAAAAACATTCATTTTAAATAAGCTATTTACCCTAAATGTTTTGGTTCAGTACGATAAATGACATAGCATATTTTACAAAGTCCTGGAATCAATGAAGTTTGATTCACAAAACATTTCCCCCAGCTATTAGTGTTTGATAGCATGAACGACTGTCCACAGCATTGTGGTATGATAACATACATCTGCCAACATGATCAGCCAACAGAGATTACTGTGCATCTAGTGTGAACCTGAATCCTCTCAGGCACCTTGTACTGAAAACTTACTTGATGGCAGTGTTCTGGCTGTGGCTATAGCTCGGCTACTACAATACTTGATCCCTGTGGCTGGGTCTGTTTCTTGACATGCTAATACCTATGTAACAAAACACATAACTCATAACGTAACAGTTTTCCTACATATGGTCATCACAAGAAGCAATGAGTGAGTGAGTGAGTGAGTGAGTGAGTGAGTGAGTAAGTATGGTTTTACGCCACTTTTAGCAATATTCTAGCAATACCATGGCAAGGGACACCAGAAATGGGCTTCACACATAGCCCCCATGTGGGGAAATTGAACTCAGGTCTTCAGTTTGACGTGCGAACGCTTTAACCACTAGGCTACCCCACCACCAAAGAAGCAATAAGGAACAAATTCTACAAGGAAATCATACTTCTCAATAGCAAGTAAAGCCAACAGAGAAATTTGTAATTTTTTGGGTGGGCGAGTGAGTTTAGCTTTACGCCACACTCAGCAATATTCCAGCTATATGATCAACAGCATGAGCATTGATCTACACAACTGGGATAAGATGATGTGTCAGCCAAGTCAGCGAGCCTGAACATCCGATCCCCTTAGTCCCCTCTTACGACTAGCATGGGTTACAGAAGATCAATTCTAACCCAGATCTTCACAGGTCCGTAATATTTTGGGGCATACTTGATCACAAATGCTTCATCAAAATAAAATTTGAAATGGTAATGGCATAAAACAGAAGATAAAATGTTTCCCCAAAAAATCTTGGGGACCATGTGATTTCAACACTTTTACTTGGACGTTTTAATAGTTAATGAATTTTTCTACATGGAAAACAAATGATATTTGCAACAGAATACCAATCATTCTTTTCAATTCACATCATATTGTACCATCTATTGGAAACATCTGATAAACATAACAAACCTGAATATTGTATTCTTGAAAATGACCCAAATTGGGGATCACAATTTCAGTTCCATAAACAGTAATCTGATTGAAGACAGGTCTAGTACTGTTATCAGAGTTGTTATCAGCCGTGGAGTTGTTCCTTTCATCAGCTGATTGACTGTTATCAGCACGAGTCACATTTTTGCTATCACCAGCAACCTTCTTCTTATCCAGTGTCACTTTCTTAGCTTCTTTTTTATCAGGTACATTGGGGGTTATTGGATCCCTTTCCATTGGTTCATCATCTGGGGTGTTATCTCTTTTCTTACGGTTGGACAACTCCGGCCTATAAAAAGCAAGATCATTAATGAAATTTATTTTATGAATCTAAATGATACATGCCTTCTTTTTATAACAGAGACTTACACATTCAGCAAAATTCTTTGGGATTTGTGCTCAACTAACTTCATTGTCACCTCTACAATACATGTATTTTAAAGTCCATACTGCATTCCAATGATGTAAAATGCCTCTACCTGCTTCTAAGCACCAGACACATGACATCCTATCCTTACAAACAGCTTTCTGCAATTCTGCAGACCCACTCAGGAATCTCTGGATTGATGTAGATATACAGCCAGAAACTGCCACTAGTTTTAACTACATACGCAATGGTTTAGACAAACACAGAACAATCACAGAACACTTACTGATTTGTATTTAATTTAAAAACAGTCTTTTTTTTTGTGGCTTCAGTGATTTACCTTTTTGTATATATCCTATCATGAAGGTCATTCTCAAATTCAATCTGCTGTTGACGCTGCCTCTGCTGTTCCTCGAGAGTTCTCTTGGACTTAGGGCACTGACAACATTGGCCATCTTTTGTCATCGTCTGGTTGATGTACTTAGTCTTCTCATCATGGATTTTCACCTTACGCTTCTTCGGCATCAGGATAGCTGGAAATTGAAATAAACAACACACCTCATTAATAAAATGTAAATATAACTCCAAACTGTTTATTTTACAACATTAAATGAGGTAATGTATTTTACCACCAGTCGATTCAAACATTACATCTAACTAGACAGAGCTTGTGAACCATAACACCAAGTATTGTTGCCTACCTCAGATGAACTTACTAGCCGAGTCAAACATTGCTGCCCTTTCATACCTCTTTTAGCTTGCAGTACTTTCTCACTTGAAACATGATATTCTGATCCATGGAATTCACAGAGAATAATCTTTACCAATGTGTGCAAAAGACACTTGAAGTAAGCTTGAAAACAATTATGGACTAAAAGCCATTACAGAAACCTTGTATTCCATGACAGTCCACTTACGGTTATCACAATAATCTCTCTTGTCAAAGGCTTCTGTTTCCAGTTCCTGAAGTTGCCAGTAGACATAGTAATGGGTAACATTGCCATTGGGACGTTTTGGTGGGTTCCAACGTACACGCAGTTCTCCCTGTTCTTCAGAATATACTTCCAAATCAGTGGGAGTAGTCGGCTCTGAAATCAAATTTATATCTTGTTCAGAAACAATTGACAGGGTGTGTGAAAGGATGTTTACTTAACATGCTATTGTCAGTAACATTTCAATGTCGCAGAAACCTGTTACGTAACCTATACTGCTGCAAACATAATGGGGTGACAACATACATCTTTTGATGATGAGGAGGAAAGGTTATAGATACTGATTCATCGAACATACTGAACAGGCAATGACTTGCATTGTGATCCTGATGATAAAGAAGAATCAACACAGTCCACATTTTGGTCGATGAAATAGGCAGGCCATATCAACACAGGTATGTGTTTATGTGTACTCACTATCACTGAAACAGTGCAATGTGCAGAATAAAAGATACAGAATCATAACAATGGTAATATCTCTGGAAATAATCAGCTGAAAAAATAAAACAACTAGTACTGTGACTATGCAAGAAACAATAGACACTTGTAGAATTTTGCATATAACCAGAAACTATGCATAACGCACATGGGTTTTACATGTGATAGTAAACTTGTCACAGAGATGGGAATCATCCCTAGCAAGAATGAAACCCATTTTTCACATGTGGGCCTGTCTGCATCACAAACATATCAATGTCTACCAGTTAGTGAAATTAGTTTCAATTGAACCCATTCAGGGATTCCATTTGTTCATTTTCTAGGACATTGAGATTTCTGATCGTCACCATCCTAAAGAGTTGATCCAATCAGGAAATGTTACAGAAGAACATCTTTTCAAAAGCTGATGAAATCCTGAAAATATCATTACGTCATTTGTCTCAGTAGGTGAAGAGTGGGTTTATATTTCATATTTCAGTCATATTGTGACATCATTTGTTTCAAGCAAAATCCTTACCATTACAACATCAGATACTAACCTCAGATCTCAACGAGACGTCGCCAATGTTGACTGACTGAGTGAGTTTGGTTTTACGCCGCATTTAGCTATATTCTACCAACATCAGGGCGGGGAACACTAGAAATGGGCTTCACACATTGTACCCATGTGGGGATTCGAACCCGGGTCTTCGGTGTGACGAGCCAACGCTTTAACCACTTGGCTACCCCACCGCCCCCGCCAATGTTGAAGAGACACAACTGAATATTGTGAAACACAAAGACAGCAAAGAAAACACTCACTAGATGGGTGGGTTGTGAAGAACATAAGTTCACTGTTAGCTGCTTCATTGGCTGTGGCGAGTGAGTAGGTTTGGATATAGGCAGCATACTGAGTCCATGGTTTGAGTCCAAACACCAACTCCACTATGTTGTTTGGATCTTTATAGTCGTCAGGGTTTGCATCATATGTCTTCCAGCTGCAGATGCAATGATGAGGTCTCAAACATTTTTGGATAGAATAATCTCCTTTTTTAACAAAACACTGATTGGGAGTGAATCGTATGTTTAAAATGCTATATCTGTCTCTGGTATAATTTTGTATGCATAAACACCTTCACTTATCCTTATCTATCTATATTTGGTGTGAAATTTTCAATCAGCAACAGCATTAACATCTTAATAGGGTAGATATAAAATAAATGCCGTTCTCTAAGGATAGAGGTATGCGAATTTCCAAGACATATTATTCCCATACACTTACGTTGTATCCATGCAAGCATCTCGACCTTGGTAAATGTTCACATCCTTGGATTTTCTGTAGACAAAAGGAACCATATCATAATTACTGGTGAAGAACATCATACACATATCTTTAGCCACAGCTGCTAGGACATCTTCATGCTTGTTTCTATGAATTTCAGTTTCTAAGATACAAATTTCAAAACTTTCAAAGCTTTGTTTCCATTTCTTTTCCCTTGCATTTGTTTTCTTTCGTTTTAATAGCATGAAACATTTTATCAAGATACAGTTCTTAATACAAATATTCTCAAACAGAACCGTTACCTCAAAGATTCTTTCAGATTTGTTTACAACCAGATGCACCATCAAACACTCAGTTAGGTCATAAACCAGTTTCTGACAGTCAAGAAAATATCCAGTTTACAATCCACAGGCAACATTGACAATATGCCTTTTTAGGAAAGCAATCCCATCACACATAATGGAGTACTTACGCTTCCCTGTAGTTGATAACATAGCTAAGCAGCTGACGACTATCAGCCTGCTCAAACCTTTGCCAGCGAAGAATAGCAAAATTTGGTCCCACACGAACATCAAGATCCATCTTTTTCACAGAACCTGCAATCAAAAGTATTCAAAAAGGTTGGTTCTGTGTGACAGTTTACACCCCAAAATGTTGAAATAAAAAGGAAAAAGCAGGTAAACCACAACTTCTTTCATGTAAATCTGGAAAGTTTTGTAAGCATTTAAGTACCACAAAAATTGCGAAACATTCTCTCAATCTTCTAAGACAGCATATTCATTTTAATCCCTTCCACATATTGTCAAACAACCAGTGTGTGATTAAATGAACAATCTGTCACATCTTGTGTTTTTTATTACACAATCCCACATTGTCACTCAGTGTCATTACTGAATCAGCAAAGCGCAGCCACAACTTATCTTGCTTACATCACACTGTGAAGTAGTCCAGTCACTGACTTTCAATTTCATCATGCCATTTCCTACTAATGTGTGAGCAGAAGTATCTTTTGTTTTTGCAATATTAACAGAGAGTTGCAGTTGAGACTATTGTCAGCCGCATAAAACTTAACCAAACCTGAAGAGGTTTTCAATTCTTTGAAGAGAGTCGCCCTTGGGGTACATATATGCATTTTCTGCGCTGAAAATTGTTCACTGATTTATTCAGCAGAAGGAATGATGATATTGGGCCTAGGTGCTTACCTGGTTGGCGCGCATGCATAGTGGGAGGTAACTCCACGCATGCCAGGTGGGTAAGCATATAATAGATAAAAAGATTTTATTTATAATAAATCAGTGAACAGAATTGCGGGAGCTGGAGAGCCTTTATTTCAAGGGGCGACTCTCTTCAAAGAATTGAAAACCTCTTCAGGTTTGGTTAATTCTTTTCATAGAGATCGTCCCTTGGGGTACATATATGCATAAACACAGACTCCCAAAGACCGGAGGCCAGGAGGAGGGAATTCTGTTAAAGTACACACAAATAGCGATCATTAAGAATAATGTAACAGACGCCACAATCACTCACCTGATACATGTCCCGTTTTGAGCTTCGAGCTGATGAGAGGCATGATGGGAGGGTAACCAACAGGGAGGAAAGGTACTGAGAGTCGACCTTATGGTCTCGCAGGTTAAGCATAATGAGAACGCACAAAGCGCATATCAATAAACGTAAACAACCCCACCCACCTTATGGTCTATCAGAGAGAGCATCGATCACGGGGAAAAACACTCACTACCGACCATAGTGAGCCGAGTGCCCTGACCGAAAGTGAGCCTTCAACCCCTCAGGGGGAGGCTCGCCCTTAGCCTGATAGGCAGCACAAATGACCGATACAAGCCAGCGAGACAGGGTCTGTTTGCTCGCTGGCACCCCAGCCTTCCCGCCACCGTAACAGCAGAACAGATGGGTACCCATACGGATCCCTTGTGTTCGTTTGATATAGACCTTGAGAGTCTTTCGGACATCCAACGGGTGAGTGCTCGTAGGAGAGGTCCCCGATGTGGAAGGCTGGGTGAGAGTAGGAAGTTCGATAGGAGCTGTCACAAGGAAAGCGTGATCGACCTCGGGCGGTAAGTATCAGGGAGGCGAATACTGACACGATCTGAATGGAACACAGTCAGCGCCGGGTCTGACAACATAGCATGTAAGTCGCCAACCCTACGCCCAGATGTTACCGCCACCAGAAATACAGCCTTCCATGCTAACAACTGAATGGAAATAGCCGATAGACGTGAGAACGTAGGACCGTACAGCCAATCGAGCACAATTGACAAATCCCAAGGTGCGCCAGCTAAAAAGCGCTGTACGAGAGGGTGCTGCCCCAGAAGAGCACCATCGACAGGGGTGTGAAAAGTGGAAATAGCGGTGGAGTAGCCACGAATGGTCGAAGCCGCCAGGCCTTCTTCCAAACGAGCTTGCAAAATCTCTAATACTCGGACTAAATCCGCAGAAAAGGGATCTGCAATCCCCTATCTGAACACCAGCGCGCATAGCGGGACCACCTATCCTCATACTGAACGTTTGTCGAATCCCGCCTCGAAGCCAGAATTGTGTCTGCAACTGCTGCAGGAATTCCGCGTGCTTCGAGGTTAGACCTGACAGAGGCCAAGCCACCCACTGAATCCTTGGATTGGGGTATGGCGCGCCGTTCTGAGTGAGAATGTCCGGTCGCAAAGGTAATAGGACAGGAGGCTGAGCCAGAAACCTGAGAATTACCGGAAACCAGCTCTGTGACGGCAAAAGCGGTGCCAGTAGCACAAGCAGCCGAGCTGGCTGGTGGGACAGCTGGGAGAGGACCCGGGGAATGAGTGGTAACGGCGGGAACGCCCAGAGCACTTTGCCCGTCCAATCCAGCAGGAAGGCATCGGAAGCCAACGCCCTCTGGTCCGGTATTCGAGAGCAGAACACTGACACAAACAGATCCACCTGGAACGATCCGTACAACTGGGAGATAACTCTGAATATCTGCCGGTCGAGCATCCACTCGTGCGGGGCCAGGATCCGGCGAGAGAGAGCGTCTGCTCGCGACGTTCTCCAGCCACGGAGATAAAAGGAGAACCTGAAGGTCGCACTGGTCGCGCAGAGGAGAAAGTCCCACGCCTCCAGAGCGCTTAGGACACCGCGTGCCGCCTTTGCTTCAGGATGTACATCATGGCCCGTCACGGTTGTCCAACTGAAGATCGAACCACCTGGCCCTGAACATGCTCCCAGAAGAGAAACCAACCGCACGCTCTCAGTTCCAACACGTTGATGTGAAGGCGGGCTTCGCCGACCAGAGTCCGGACACCGACAGACTGCCCAGAACACACCCCAGCCCTGTGAGGGACGCATCGGTTTGAACTGTAAGAGCTGGCGTTGAGATTTCCAAAGGGACCCCCTTGGAGAGATTCCCGACATTGGTCCACCACTGAAGGTGAGGAGACAACCACCCGGGGACTGTGAGACTCTGCTCCAGGTCCTCCGAGTGAGCCCACAGACTCGCCAAAGCTTGCTGTATAGGGCCCATCCTCAACCGCGCCCGCCACACTACAGAGAAAGTCGCCGCCATATGGCCCAGTAGACAGAGCCAAGTCCGTGCTGGTGCCTGGGGCTGGGAGAGGAACGAAGACACCATCTCCCGTACTCTGGTGACCCGGTCGGGCGACAAGGAGACAAGATCCTTGTGAGTTTGGAATCGCACCCCGAGAAAAACCAAGTCCTGGGTGGGTACCGGGTCGGATTTTTTGAGGTTGATGATCCACCCCAGTCGAAACTAGAATGGTTATCACTGTGTGAGTAGAATCTAGGCTCGCTGGCTGTGTTAGCGGGCTGAGCAACCAGTCGTCAAGGTAAGGGTAACAACGCCTTCCTTGCGATTGAGCGAGGGTGGCTGGCACTAACATGAGCTTGGTGAACACCCTGGGGGCAGTGGATATGCCGAAGGGGAGCACCGTGAATTGGTAATTCATCCCGTCGTAAGAGAACCGGAGGTACTGCTTGAACCATGGATGAATGGGCACATGTAGATATGCATCCTTTAGGTAGATTGACGTGAGCCAATTGCCGGGCTGAACAGAGGAGATCACCGAGCGAAGTGTCTCCATCTTGAAGGATGGAACCTCTAGCATGCGATTCAACCCCTTGAGGTTGAGGATGGGACGGAACCAGCCGTCTTTCTTCGGAACGAGGAAGTATGTGGAATAAAATCCCGCCTGTTCCTCGCCCGGTGGTATGCGCTCTATAGCGGACTTGTCCAGCAAAGCTTGAACTCCGTCTCGCAGTATACCCGCCCTGACCTGACATGACGGCACCGGAGTGCGACGTATGCCGGTGAATTCTGGCGGGCCTTGCTTCCACAGTGGTAGATGGCCGACACTGACGGTGGACAGCACCCAAGTGTTGCTTGTAGCCTTCTCCCACTCCGGCAGGAATAGAGAGAGGCAGACCTCCCGTTATGAACAAGGGACTTCACTGAGTCCATGTGCTGCTGAAAAAGCTGTGTGATTACAGACATGTCAAAACCGCTGGGAGCAGAAGAAGGCGCTGTACTGCTCGACTTAGCTTTTTTGCCTGCCTTAGGTTTTTTGGCTTTAGACGGGGGGACCTGGGTCAGTTCCCCTCCCGCCTCTCGCATTTCTCTATAAAAGAGGAAATCGGCAGCCCTCCTTTTCTGGGCTCGGGGGGAGAAGCCCATACATAGTTCACATATGTCGGGATTATGTCCGAATTTCTCGCGGGCCTCGCTTCCACAGTGGTAGATGGCCGACACTGACGGTGGACAGCACCCAAGTGTTGCTTGTAGCCTTCTCCCACTCCGGCAGGAATAGAGAGAGGCGGCCTCCCACTGGGACGTGTGGTAAGAGAGCGTGAGTGGTCCCGAGTAGCTGAGCTGACTGGGACGGACCCACGGCGACAGCCTGTTGGGTTAACGGGAGGTCGGGGCAGACCTCCCGTTATGAACAAGGGACTTCACTGAGTCCATGTGCTGCTGAAAAAGCTGTGTGATTACAGACATGTCAAAACCGCTGGGAGCAGTAGAAGGAGCCTTACTGCGCGACTTAGCTTTTTTGCCTGCCTTAGGTTTTTGGGCTTTAGACAGGGGGGACCTGGTTCAGTTCCCCTCCCTTCTCTCGCATTTCTATAAAAGAGGATATCGGCAGCCCTCCTTTTCTGGGCTCAGGGGGAGAAGCCCATACATAGTTCACATATGTCGGGATTATGTCCGACTTTCTCTAGACAAACGAGACACTTGTCATGCTTGTCTGCTCTGGGAATACTTTGTCCGCAGACAGAACATCCGGAAAACGCCTGAAAGCAAACACGCAAGCATGTAGCTAACAGCGGAGCCAGCAGCATAAATATACACGTACAAAACATTGAAAATTACGTGAATGCGACCACGGGAAGAAATACTTGGTTAAAAGGCAATATGACAACCACGTGGCACGCTTAACTTCCCGCCATGGCAAAGCAACACGTGCGTAAACCACGGGAAAGTGAGCGTAAAATATTTAATACAAAGTCACAATTTTGAGACAACCGACCGCAAAGCCTTACTGTTCCGTTCATAGGACAAAATAAAGACCATACATACAGGTGGTGGTGTCCCAGACATTATTCTCTTTAACTCCGTGTTATGGAAGGAGTTCAGCTCTACTCGACACATCCGTTCAGTGGAGTGACAGCAGAAGGAATGATGATACGGGCCTAGGTGCTTAACCTGGTTGGATGCGCATGCGTAGCGGGAGGTAACTCCACGAGGTGGGGGCCGTATAATAGATAAAAAAGATTTTATTTATTGTACAATATTTTTATTAAAACATTGATACAACTGTCACAGGACATTTTCAGCGCAGAAAATGCATATATGTACCCCAAGGACGATCTCTATGAAAAAGAATTTCCAGATTTACAGCATGGTTTCCATTAGGATTCCTACACCAAACATGACTACTGACATGTTGTTTCAGAGACTTTTACCCTAAGACAGAAGAGATGTTAATGATGACGACACATGCTTCCATAAACATACAGTTCAAATGAAAAAAGCACCATCTGTCATGGATGGACAGATCAGCAACTATTTCAACACCAGCTTCGTAAGGATGTAATCAAAATGTATATATCTTGTGCATAATACTACTTACAGGGAATTTGGTCTCCATTTGTAAGTGGGCTAACATCGTTGTCTGTATACTTGACTTTAATCTTCGTGAGAAATTCTGTAATTTTGTGGTAGCACAGTTTTCGATTGAAGTGGAATGCGACATCACCGGCTTTGATGGAAATATTTGAAGACACTTCTTTCGGAAACAATTCTTGAAGATTTGCATTGTCCATAATTAGAAGGCTGTAGCTGCAAACACAAAGGCAATACATATTAACAATACAGTGGGTCACTCCTTGCAATGATGAAATGGTTGAATTTAAATTTTGCTATCTTACACCGAACACTGATGTAAAATACTTCACTCTGTCCAAGAAATATTCTGAAATGCCTTAAACAACTGTGTTATTCACAAATGTTCTAATATTCGCTATGAATTAAATGTTCTGTGGATGGCATGTGCAGTCCCATAACAAGAGGTTTGTTGCATTTATCAATGGCTTTGTAATATGCTCTGAATGAGTAAGAGCAGTTTTTGCCCTTTTAGAAATACTCCAGCAATTTCACAGCAAGGGATACATGAAACAGGCTTCACATATGGTACCCATGTGGGGATTCAAACCCGGGTCTTCGGTGTGACAAGCAAATGCTTTAACCACACCTCTAAATAATGTAGAAGAGAATCTCATCAAAATAAACTCTTCTGAAAGTGAGACAAATGGAAGAAACAAAACTAACACATTTACAAGAATCCATCTATATTCAGCATCTAAGATGTCAGACAGTGATTCCACAGATCCTGATATTGCCCCACTGCTAAGAATATATTCCAACTGCACTGGATCCCAAATATTCCTGTCCCTTCTTTCATTACTCAAATTAAGCCAACACACATTCAAAAAACTGAAACACTGTTATGGTTTTGAATTTCTTTCACTTACTTGCCATACTGCTTCTTGTCCCCATGAATTACTCGCAGATTCTTGAAGAATCCTAATGATAACAGAGCATATGAACGGACGATCTTGATGTACTCAGTGACCTCCTGAATCTGTCCTAAACTAGCTTCAAGTTCTTGCCCAATATTACCTGGAAGGGAAATATAAAAAGAGTTAATGGAAAAACGCTATATATTTGACAATATCAAACATATAGTTAATGGTACAAACAAAGACCAAGTTTGCATCAAAGCTTAGTATATATGGAAACCATAACATTTTTATTTCACACAAAAAAGATTCATTTTACTGAAAAATAACTTTTGATACTGAAAAAGAAGAAGATGTAACTCACTTCCACCCATGATTTGAATCTCAAGAGGACCTTTGATCTTTGTGCAGCCTTTCAGTTTTTGAGCTGACTCAATGCTGTCTACAGTCTTTCCCAAGCATTCTGAGGAAGAGAGAACGATATATTATCAAACTTCACAATCCATAGCAACTGAAGTGTTTTCTCTGCTATAGATGCATGCGACTTTGGTTGGCTCAAGATTGTGGTAGGATCAATGATGGTGATGATGATGACGACGACGATGATGAAAATGATGAGCATTCAGTGCACCAAAAGTACAACACCCCTCCACAGGCCAGTTGTCATTCCTAGCAAGTTGCAACACATTGAAAAGCCAGTATATTTTTTTCCTTTGTCAACTGTATTATGTTTTCCAATTTCACAGTCTTAAACAGTCCTGTGCACTGATTACAATGTCTAGACCTAGACAAGGAATAGGCAGCTGGCCATCGAGCATGGCCCTTTCTAATTATGTTATGCAATATATGGTAATGAAGGTCACAAAACATGAATGCTGTGGATAGTTAAGATTTCATTTTGACTTGTTTGTTGTACATTTACATCTTTTAGTTTTACAACCATGTCAATGACAGTTTTCACTAACCGATAGTAGAAGATATTTACAATAACGAAGTCAAAGATTAGGATGCAATCATGAAGTCTCAGAGTAGAAATATTAACCACCAAGAAGAAAAGAAGGATGCAAACGTTGTCCCACATGACTTGTATTTTGTGCTTGATACAATTGTTGAGGGTTAAAGATAATTCAGCATCTCTGGGCTCTCATTTAATGTTCAGAAGTTAAATATGATATCAAACATCAAATCTATTTCACAGAAATGTGAATAAAATGCAGCATCTGTTTTATTCAGGTGTCTTTTGTAATCAAAACACTGTTACTCCTTTCTACAAAAGTAAGCATATTCGGGTCACTGACTGCATAATATAATCAATACCGTTGCTGCTAGTAGACCACTGGTGTAAGAATATTCATGGCTGACTGCTCCTTTGACACTCTCATGAAAGAGAAAGAGACAAAGTCATCAATATCCCCCGCAATGGCAAAATACTCTTCATGATTATGTCTACGAGTTATGATTATGTCTACGAGTTATGATTATGTCAAATATTCAGGTGTGTATATAGAAAAGTGGAAGGAGAGTATTGAAAGGTTTTTAAAGTTCTTCTCCAGAAAGGAGCACTATCACCAATTTCAGTCTATGTCAAACTTGTTGCCATGGAAATGCCAAAATATTTTATTCAGAAATCCAAAACTACCAAAAGGCACCAGTACACCACCAGATCTATGTATGTGCCAAGTTTGGAGAAGAAACATTGAACGGTTTTAGAGTTCTGTTCCAGCCAGAAAAGTGCACTACCACTAATTTCAGTCTAAGTCGAACTTGTTGCCATGGAAACGCCAAAAATATTTTATTCAGAATTCCAAAACTACCAAAAGGCACCAGTACACCACCAGACCAATGTATGTGCCAAGTTTGGTAAAGAAATAGTGAACGGTTTTAGAGTTCAGCTCCGGAAAAGTGCACTACCACCAATTTCAGTCTAAGTCAAACTTGTTGCCACGGAAACGACAAAAATATTCTATTCAGAATTCCAAAACTACCAAATGGCACCAGTACACCACCAGATCTATCTATGTGCCAAGTTTGGTGAAGAAATAGGGAACGGTTTTAGAGTTCTGCTCCGAAATGACAAAATGATAAATACAAAACCCAATTAACAGTAAAACCAGGACATGGCTTGACGAAATGCGGGGGATAATTACGGTATGACAAGAAATCCAATTGCATATTATCATAACAATCCATAAACCATATAAAGAAGCATATGTAGATAAAACACACACTTCCCACCTCTATAAGCAGATCCATCAATTTGATATATAGAAAAAACAAACAAGAAGTATAACATTTGGTGACAGGTTTCAAAGAGAATTACGCTAATAGATAATTGATCAATGTTTTCCACATAAATGCAACTTGTTCCCTGAATTGTGTCATTATATTTCAAGACCAACCCAGGTGCATCCATTCTGAAGTATGCATGAGAGAAAATGTTATGAGACTGCTTGGACTAAACAATACTGCTTCAATTCAATCATTAGAAAAGGTGAGTTAAATGTGGTAGTTGGAGTAGAGAGACTTGACTGCACAATGAAATTAGTCATTTCAGACTAGTGACCTCTTCTAAAGTAAGTATATTTAGGTGAGGTGCAATAGGGTTTAACGTCGTACTTAGAATATTTCACTCATATGACGACGTGTATGCGTGTGTATGTGTGGCTGCTTGTACTAGCCCAGACTTAAGCTGGTTTTATAGTGCTAGCTCACTGAGATACCATGCCGCAGCTAAGCATGAATACCCCACTGAGACACATTATACTGACTCCTTGTCGACCAGTCCTTGTTTTACCCATTAATGCTGAGCGCCAGAGGGGGACCAACAAGTACCATTTTTAACGTCTTTTGGTATGAATACCCGAAAAAAGACACATTATGCGACCAGTCCTTGTTTTGACTCATTGCCAGAGGGACCAGTCCTTGTTTTACCCATTAATGCTGAGCATCAGAGAGGGACCAACAAGTACCATATTTTAATGTCTGTTGGTATGACATGGCCGGGGATTGAACCCGCGACCTTCCACTCTCCAGGCAGACACTCTAGCCACTACACCACGGAGGTGGTAAGTATATTTTGGGGAAACCCAACTCAACCCTCTAGCTTGTATAGATCTCCACACTAAAATGTATTACATAATATCAGTGGAGAGTTCCAAACATACCAACATTTTACACCAATGATCAGTGAAATGCCTGAGTAACGGTCATATTGCCCATAGTGAAACAAAAGGTTCATTTGATATTTTGAACTACCTGAGGTGTCATCATCAGTGGCATGTGAAGTTCACTCAAGCTTCACTGGCAGTGTTTCTACTGGCATTTTTTGCAACTGGACAGTGTGACCAGCTAGCATTTCAAATACCGGTCATTTGTAAATTTTACCTGTCATGTGATCACACTTTTCATTGTGCGCGAGACCTAGCATCCTAACAACCAATCAGAAATGTAGAGGGTATCGCAAGGTGACAATGTCACTATTTTTAGCCTGGGTTTTTCCAAAACTGCTATTTCTTATTTGACAACACCTCGATATCATTGTGAAAACAATCTTTTTCGAGGAAAAATATAACTGACAGAGGTAACTAGAAAATTGATTATAAAATTTGCAGGACACGATGACTGACAGCCTTTGAAATTACCAGACATTCTATAAACTTTGTATTGGTCAAAGTTCGGTATGTACTGGATAATGGAAACACTGACTGGTCCAGTATTAGGTGGCGAGATGTTTACAACAAACACTACAAAAACAGGCTATGACTGTTTTTAATAAAACTTTGACTACCGAACCCACATGTCTAAGAAAGTAGGCAATTGTGATACCTTTAGGACAGTAGTCTTCACATTTCTTGCACGAGGTTGGATCTTTCTCATCAACACTGTAACCATTGGGGCACTCTTCCACACAAAGTCCAGGGGATGCTGCATTGGTGTTTTCATGGCGAATGATCTTCCAGTGGTCAGCCACTGCCTTCCTACTGATGTTGATGCATTCTCGATCAAGCAAGCATCTCCTGTTCATAAACTGTAACACAAAAACACACCAGAACAGATTTATTCTCTTGCGTAATCTTTGTGAAAAGGGGATATACATTGCACTGGCTAAAGTTCAGTGGCATTCACAATGTCTCAAACAACCTTTAGTATATAATTTTAATATCTTTTCCTGAACTTAAACCCAAAATGGCAAGTATGGTGACAAAACAACTTGATGGCTCATACTCAGACAGTGAAACCCTCTGGCATATATGCTCTACCGAAGAGTGCAGTTTGCATGTATGCCAGCACACTGCTCTTGTGTTAATGGATCAACCATCAGCACATGAAGGTACTGAACAATTTGTAGCAGTGCATGAAATAAGCAGAAATGATGAGAATTTTCCGCGGATTTCTGGAATTTTGTTTTCATTTTGCACATTTTATAGATTGATGTAAATCTGCAATAAAAGACCCCCGGCTACATTTTCAGTGTTTTTGCCATTTTCATGTCTGAATAAGGTCTGTTTGACCACCCGAGATGGGCTAGATTTATGACAGACGATCTAAATTTTACAGCAAGTCAGCCCAATGGTCTGGTAAATGTTTTAGATGTTCCATAGATCTGAGTAAATTCACCATATCTTGGTGTCTGGTCTGGTAAAATCCATTTTGGGCTGGTAACATTTTGAAGTTGGCTGGGTTTGGGGCTCATTTCATACACTGTTTGTAGTGTCTTCAATGTGTGAATAGAGACATCTTTCTCAACAAGCAATTGTGGACATTCTGTATTAACTTTCCAAACTGACCATGGCATCATTACAAACAAAGACACTGCAACAGACCAATCATCAATTTCATAGGGGACAATATGGTTTTGATTATTCAACTTACCATGTAAGTTTCCGCTGGACAGGCAGGCTGACAATGTCCATTGTAGGTGACATTCCGACATGAGATACACTGATTCATTTCTGGTCCTGTACAGCCGCCAACACAGTACTCGTGGCAGCATGCACCAGTCGCATCATTGCAAAAACCAGCTCCATACCTGCTTGTGCATGGACATTCTGCAAAAAAGAACCACTGACATTGTTTCTGATCTTTTCATAATATCACTAACAACTGGCTAAAGTCTTTCTGACATCAGCTCTACACTTTCTGTACAGATGAATTCAACTGCAGTAAACATTGCAAAAATGATTTACACCTTGCTTACTGAATTTTGACATGTACTTCCGTGTTGTGAGCTTTTGGGATATGTGACATGCCGACGGAAGTCAATGATATGAGGCGGGCTGCACTTAAAACAAGAGTCATCAGAAGATGACAAATCCCCTTGGCCCCCACAAATTTGAAAGATCAAATCATCTGACAGTTACTTAGAGTCCAACTTGATGAGAGAATTTCTGTCTTATCTGTCCATCAGTATACAAGAATAGTTATGGAGCTATCAAAACAATAGCATGGAATTTGTACAGGTACACACCAACATCAAAGTTAAAAGAACAAATACAATTTTAAAATCCCTAATAGCAAAAGGCAGCAGTTGACAACCTGGTTTTTGTTTGTTTCATGAATGAATACCTGATACCCTTTCGAGATATGGTCCTGAAAAATACAGCCCTATATATAGAGTCAAAATCAAACTTCTGCCATGGAAACGAGCAAAACATAAATTCTTAACAACCCAAGTAGCACAAGGCATCATTTGACAACCTGGTCTTTGTGAGCTCACAGTTTCATGAAAGAATACCTATTAGCTTTAGAGACATGGTAAGGACAAACATGACATGGAAACAGGAAACAAATTCATTTCCTTGGTTAATACATGTACCCAGTTAGGATGAAAAATATTTTTGAGTTGTGCTCCGGAAACGAAATCCAACCCCTCCTTTTGAAACCAAGTCCAAACTGTTTCCATGGAAATCGATAAAAAAATAACTATCTGTAAATAGTAAAAGGCACCACTTTAAGTTCTGTTTGATACATCTATTAATTTTTGTTAAAAGATACTGAACGATCTTTCAGTTATGCTCAGGAGTGAAGTGATTATGGATGGATGGACAGACGACTCACTGTTCAATGAGGCGTCGACAATATATAAAAGGGGTGGTGGGGTTCACTAACAGTAACTAGTAGGGATGTCATGATACATTAGTTGCATGAATCGATACATATCACGATACCCATGTCACGATTCGATACGTATCACGATACCTATATTCTTGGCATTATTGCGTAAATTTAGTTACATTTTGAACAGTAATATTTCATATTTTATAATTGTCCATGATAAGATCAACATTCTTGATTCTCAGAGATTAAATAGTTCTAATTTCCATCTTTGTGCATGAAAAATCATCATTTATAATTCTCATAACATCAAAAAACATGATACAATTGCAAAATGTGAACGATATATAAACATAATTAAACCGATACTTTCAAAACTAAATATCGATACAGTTTTGAATGTATCGATAATTGTATCGTCTTAGAAAAAGTATCAATGCATCGATGTATCGTGGCATCCCTAGTAACTAGGAAGCAGAATGTTATGATTCCCTATGATATATTGTTTAAAGGTCACATGCAACCAAAAAATCAAACATAATTAAAACACAATTATCACTTCTTCATGACATATAATATGCATTGCTGATTATGAAAAAAACAAATAAACAAAATTTTAAATTGTATAATCGCAAATCAAAAGTGCAATATTTTGTGCTTGGGTTTACCTCCCTCGAAACGAAGCAGCCGGGATACCGAACCCAGTCAGAGCGGGTGGGTGTGCACTCAAGTGTAACGGCTGGTTCATTAGCAGATGCCGCCTTGACGGCTATTTGTGTGTGTATATAGAGATGTTGGGTTTTGTAAATACATGCTCATTTTTTGTGTATAACATTTTGCAATCAACAGACATCATAACATGTCATGTGTTCAAGTATCACACCTGCCTGTCTGTGTAATAACATAATGTGACAGAGACCGAACTCGGGCCATAAATCAATGCGTTTTGTTTATGGTGTATAGCCTGATTGGTGTTAAGTTAAAATTGCATGTGGTCAGTGATCGCAGTTGTGTATTGAATATTGTCATTAGCAGACGGGCAGGCAGACACAAAGGTGCCAATAAAACAGACATTGAGTTTTGTCTGTGACAACGACATATCTATATCACAGTTAGAAATTCTGTCGACGCAAATAATGACATTGCTTTTAAGTATCGAACTGAGAAAGTGACTCGGTAAGAAGAACGTGTGGTGAAATAGACAAATGAAATTATATAAACAGTTTATTTACTGTCATAACATATAAAAAGCTCGTGCCTGTGAGATATCAACAAAACATTAGAAAAATAGCTCACACCAAAGCCTTCACCGAGTATTCACCCGACAACCCGCTTCCAAGCTGCGCGAACCTATTTACTTGCGCACGTGCTATGAGCGCAGCCCAGCTGTTGAAACCCGTATTCCCCATAAAAGTCTGGGGAAAATTAGTGAAACGTTTGAACTCCGATTTCGCGTGTGTTTTTTCATCGCGTTATTTTTCAACTTTATAAGTTGAATTTGCATTTTTGACGATTTGTTTCGCTATGTCCATACCGAAAGGTATCAGAATCTGCAAAGTTGTGTTTTACGTTGCATGTGACCTTTAAGCAAGATTCAGATCTAAAGCACACCACTTTTAACTCAACCTCTGTGTTTGTTTTATGCGTATACTCTTAACCCAAACTTATTTGCCTAAGTGAATTTTATACAAGGTGACAATAGTTGAAAGACAGCTATATTGGTGACCAAATTAGTAAAAAGTGTGTCTTGCCCACTGGCACAAAATTCATATTCTTCTCTGCAGGAAAAAAGAGATAGATCTATTATTTTATAAAGGGACTACTAGAACTAAGTTATGTTACATGATCATATGACTCGATGGTAAACGTGAATAAATTATATCCAAACACTCTACAGTTCAATTTTGACTCATGCTTTATGCAAAACAATTACATTTTGGGAGAAACCAACTGGTCCCTATAGATTTTAAAAGGTCGTGGCTAACAGGTTTATTGTAAAATACAGGTACTTCAGTCATTACCTGAAATTGAAGATAATACATTCCAAAAGCAGTATCATTAACTAAAAGAATGTCCCATTCCTCAAGGACCACCTCCGTGGTGTAGTGGTTAGAGCGTCCGTCCGAAGAGCGAAGGTCGCAGGTTCGATCCCCGACCGCGTCATACCAAAGATGTTAAAATATGATATTGTTGGTCCCTGCCTGGCGCTCTGCATTAATGGGTACAACAAGGACTGGTCGGCTCGGAGTCAGTATAATGTGTCTGAGTGGGGTATTCATGCTTCACTGCGGCGTGGTATCCCAGTGGGCTAGCACTATAAAACCAGTTTAAGTCTGGGCTAGTACAAGCAGCCGCACATACACATACACACGCATGCACGTCGCCATATGAGCGAAATATTCTCAAGCACGATGTTAAACCCAATTTCACCTCACCTCACCCCATTCCTCAAGCTACCATAACAACAATGATTGTGTACACACTACTGGAATAATGACAGTGGCCTTCAATTTCTTCTGATCAATTGCTTTCTAACACTAACAGGGTTGCTACTCTTAGATATATGTCAAAGCAACACAGTGGGTTAGTAGTCAATATGAGTCCATATTCAATATTATTCTCCAGGAAAACGTAGTTTAATGAGAACAGCAAACTTATATAAACAATGATTTTTGCTGTGACCTTGAAAGGTCACTAACAATCTTTCCTTGTCAAACCCCACCCAAAGGATGACACACACTTTTCTGACCTGCAGTAAATCTTTCTTTAATTTATTATTCCCTTTTTCAGGTGATAACAATGGGGCTAAATGACACACTACAAAATCAATACCAGAAAACATATCAGACTATCAACTTGATAAGGCCAGACCAATTTTATTTCTTGTTTTACTGGTCATATTTTTTCAAGAATAAAAAAAAAAAAAAGTTAATTTTCCCCACTTTAAAAATAAAATCCTTATGTTTTATTGGTCAAAACTGTAAATTTACAAGAAACGTTTTTTTAGATTGTGTTTTGCCCCATATACACTTCATAAATTGCCAAAAGTAAAATACATTTAGTATTTATTTATTTTTATTTTCATGTTTTTTCTCTCCTGCCTTTAGGTTTTCTTAGTACAAAAAGCCGTAAAACAAGAAATAAAATTGGTCTGGCCTAAAGGAACAAGATGTAAAGTAATGTTTCCCTCGGATGTTCAAGCAATGGATGGTTTCGAAAATATACTGACACCCGAGGTCAAATTCTGACAAAATCTAAAAGCATTTCCATTCATATGTGGTTGCTTAAAATCGACTGATGGAACAATGATTGCCGCATGATCAGTGTCACATTATCTAAGCCATTTGGAAGTATTGCTGCATAATCATTGATGTCAAGCAATACATAATGTCAGCAAATTCCTAATGAAGGAAGGACAGTAATGAATGAACTGACCTGAACTGATCATAGGCTAATAAAATGTTTAGAATCTTGCCTGAACCTAAAATTTATTATTCATTTTTAGGTGACTGATCACTCCATTGTTTGACTTGTTATTTTAATGTGGGTTTGTTTCACATTTGAAAACAGCTGTCAGAAATGTTTCATAACATACAAAATGGAACTGCAGTCAGTGACTCAATTTGTTTTAATGAAAATGTAAAATGTTAGTACACGTCTTTTGTCCTAACCCATGTCAATGCAGGGCTGTTTCACGTGGAAACTTAAGTTTAAGATATTGGTGGAGAAGGTGAGTATCCAACTTGAGGTCTCAGTAGTTTTAACAACATATTTTTCTTAAGTGACTCCATTTTCAGTTCAATTGTATTTGAATTACTTGAACACAATATATATTTATAATTTGGATGAATAATGCATCTTAATCTGTAAACAAAAAACATAAAACATTGTGCTGAAACATTACTTCATACACCACTGTACAGTATTCAGTTTTATGGCTAGTGTTACTACCATTTACTAAAGGAAAATGGAAAACACCAAAGCAGATGTTGAC